ATTTAGAAAAATAGTAATTTAATGACAATCATATTTTCAACCAATTTTAATGCTTAAATAATGAGTACAATTTTTTAATTATTTTTCATTATCAGTATAAAATAAAAGCAGTAGAATAAATACTATCATCGCGTAAGAATAGTAATGAAAAGTAAATTAATCAACGGCAATAAACTGCCATAATGTAACACATCGGTGGATTTGTTGTTAATGGAAGAGTGTAAAATCAATGTCATTGTGTCTATTGACGTCACTGCATTTCAACCTCGGTAAAATATGATGCAAGTGCGTCCTCTAGTGTTACAAATAAACATGAACTCATCAACATAGTGTGTTTTCTTAAATGCATTTTATTCTCAGATTAGTGAATAATTATGTGCACATTTAAAACATTCTCAAAAATGATAGAAGTGGCTGCAATAACTAAATATTTCAAGGATTACTATAATCTTGCTATTACAGAAGGATTTACCCATTAAATGCGCTGACATGAGTTCGGTTGTATTATAATTGCTGTAATTCAGTGTCCTATTCATTGAGAGATATTCTCAATATTTTATATTCCTAATTATTTCACATTAAGGAAAGTGTCTACTGACCAAATATGTTATGCTTTACAGTCCGAATCAGTCTACACTGCTTCCGTTTGTCTTACACAATTGTAATTCAAATACTGGAAACGGTTCATACAACATCCTTTAGGAACTGCTTGCACACAATCGATTTTTAATAACCATCTATAATAATTAGCTTACAGAGAGCATAATTATCTAAAAACTTTGAAATAAAAAAAACACTAATCTAGTAGTTCTGATTTCCTGTGTTTAAACAGTGTGCTCAAAGTCCATGCATTTCACAGGTAATGTAAGGACATGAGTAATCTCATCTAATGCTAATGGATATATGACAAAGTCTGATTCCAGTCGAGTTTTATGCTTGTTTTCCTGTATGTCCTTCAGGTAGAAGCACGTCCACGGTGAAGCTGACTTTCTTTGAATGAAGCACACTATAAGTGTTGTCAAACCATACCACATCTATAGAGAAAAATAAAATTATAAAATAATAATAAATAACTGGAATAGCACCAAAAACTATGGAAGCTTGTTTCTGCCACAAGATAAAAAAAATGTAAAAAAGGTAATTGCGACTTTTTATCTCACAATTCAGACTTTTTTTTTTTTTTTTCAGAATTGTGATTTTTTTTAATCTCACAAATCTGACTTTATATCTTGCAATTCTCAGAATTTTGAGAAAAAAAGTCTGAATTGTGAGATAAAAAGATCAATTACCTTTTGATTTTATTCCATGGCGGAAACAAGCTTCCATAAAAAACTCAAATGTCAAATTCAAAACAAACGTACAGATGCCTGATTCCTCACAGGTGTAGGATCCATCTTCTGGAACTAGGTGGGAATTGTAACGTTCGGTAGGCAGTATTTCCCGCATGGCTTCTGCTTTCTTTGTCTCATTCCCTTTTGTCTTCAGGAAAAGTCCAAAACCAATATCAGACCCCTCACTTGCAAACTGCCATCTAGAATGAGAAAAAAACTAGTTTAACCACAAAGGAATGAAGACAGGCTATGCTCAAAATCCAATAGTAGCATACATATGGAGTATATTGCATGCTATTTTGCTAAACAATTATGCATAACTATTAGCACTTACAAATGGTACTTACCGTAGTACGCAGTTTGGAAAGAGCACCTCATAATCTAGCTGGTACGAGGAGCCACGGCTAATTGTGATAAACTGGTCATACTTCACTTTGATGGAGTCCCGCACATAGTACGACTTCGGCACTACGCCACCATAACGTAACTGAGAGGAAGACGTCAGATGAGTAAAGACAACTAAATATTGGTATTCTGAATGGACTACCATTCAAAAGTTTGGGGGGTCAGTAAGATTTTTTAAAATGTTTTTGAAATAAGACTCTTATGGTCACCAAGGCTGCATTTATTTGATCAGAAATACAGAAAAAACTGTAATTGTGAAATATTATTACTATTTAAAAGAACTGTTTTCTATTGTAATATATTTTAAAATGCAATTTATTTCTGTGATGAAAAGCTGAATTTTCAGCATCATTACTCCAGTCTTCAGTGTCACATGATCCTTCAGAAATCATTCTAATATGCTGATTTGCTGCTTCTTATTACTAATATTACTGCTTTTTTTGGACTACATTTTTTTTTCTGGATTCTTTGATGAACAGAAAGTTCAGCATTTATTTGAAATAGAAATCTTTTGTATCATTATAAATTACTTAAATGTCACTTTTGTCCAATTTAATGCATCCTCAGTGAATAAAAGTATTAATTTCTTAATTATTTTTTTTAAAGATTGACCCCAAATTTTTGATTCCTATTTGAAGTGGTAATCTTCTGTTCACTAGTAAACCTCACCATGGTCTTACAGAGAGGGTTTCCATCAGGATCAGTCATGGATCCCCCGTAAACCGCAGGTAACTGATCTGCATCCACATAGTTCCTCAACACCTCTTTCCAGTTGGCTGGAAGGTGGAGATCGCAAGAGAAATTGCCATTCATGAGGTGTCATTCATGCAGGATGAGTTACACACCAAAGTCAACAGTATCGTGATGTTTGTCTTAACTAGACAACTTACAACCCAGCACAGCAATCTTCTGCCTTGTTTCCTCACGCAAAAAGTGTTTGACCAAGTTATATGCAATAGGGAAGAGTTTAGGGGCTGTAGAAAGAATAATTTCAGAACTGTTTATTATTAAACAATCTCACAGTGATGTAATTTAACTGGTGCAACGATTACTCACCTTTGATTAAAAGCACCTTTTTTAGGTTCTCTGGATAGTTCTCCTCAAACATAGTCAGAATCTGCAGGGGATAAATTGGATGAAAAGCCAAAGATAATATCACAATGTGACAATTTTAGATGTTAAGATGGATTTTAGTAATGGAAGATACCATATTTAATTTGAGACTGTAAAATGGTGCCTTAAAATGAGTGAAATGAAAATTTGCTGACAATTTAATCACCCTCAGGCTATCCAAGATGTAGATGAGTTTGTTGTTCATCAGAATAGATTTGGAGAAATGTAGCATTACGTCACTTGCTCACCAATGGATCCTCTGCAGTGAATGGGTGCCGTCAGAATGAGAGTCCAAACAGCTGAAAAAAACATCATAATAATCCACAAGTAATCCACGCAATTTGTAAGAAACAAATCCATCATTAAGGCACTTTAACTTTAAACCATCGCTTCTGGACAAAATATGAGCCATAATCCATAATAACACTCCAGTGAAAAAGTCCAACCTCTGTTGCCACATCAAAATCCATATTTGTTTAGAACTGCTCTGAACTGTTTTCTCTTGTAAACGGTGCTTGATCTGTGCAGATTTCTCTCCTGATTCAGATGAGATGACATTTTCACTGGAGATTATATTATTGACTCGTATTTTAGCCAATAAAAAGATTAATTTGTATATTACAAACACAGCTTTTCACTTCACAAGACATTAAATGATGGAGTGGAGTGGTGTGGATTACTTGTGGATTATTGTGATGTTTTTATCAGCTGTTTGGACTCTCATTCTGACGTCACCCATTCACTGCAGAGGATCCATTGGTGAGCAAGTGATGTAATGCTGAATTTCTCTAAATCTGTCCTGATGAATAAAGAAATTAATGTCCATCTTGGATCGCCTGAGGGTGAGTAAAATTTCAGCAAATTTTCATATATAGGTAAACTATTTCTTTAATATAATTTCTTATTATTATATATTGACCGGCAAATAAAAAGAAGGATTAAAGTTCATGCACCAAAGCTCTATGTTAGGACCCTGCTCCAACACACTGCAATGCAATGTGCACAAAAACACCCCAATGAAGAGACATAGCACTGTCGAGATATTACATACATAGTCTGCACATATATTGCAAAATACTCCGTATAAAGAAACCAATTTCAGAGCCTGATGGTGGTGGAGGAGACACCACTCATTCAAGTCTACAGGAAGGTTGACATGAGCAAAAAGTAAAAAAGGTAAACAGATAAATACTGTGGCTGTACTCTATCTGGCTCACACTAGCTCTAGTTGCGGATGCGTAAATTAAACTTTTTAGATTTCTTTCTTTCTTTACACCAGTTCATTGAATGGGTGTCAGATGTAAAAAGGCCCTCAGGCAACATGGATAGCTTCATGTGGTAGTTAACACTGTTTAGTCTCAGATAGCAAAGAGCTCCTATGGGAACTGCAGCCAGCCCTGCACATCTGACAGTCTGATTGTTACTTAATGGTTTATGTATAATTTAAAATTTTGAACTACTGAACTGTTTCTATTTGCGTGGTGATAAGAGACAAACTCACTTTCAATGCTCCGACATAACAACTGCATGCATATTTTATCAAAGATTAAAATGCAAATTTAAAATCCAAACAAAAAAAGTTGGATACCGCTTCAATATAATTTGGATATCCACATAGCGTAGTTGTAATCTATCTGTTAATTTACTTTCTGTTTCTGTTTCTTCATCTGAACAGATTTGGAGAAATTTTGCATTTTACGTCACTTGCTCACCAATGGACCCTCAGCAGTGAATGGGTGCCGTCAGAATGAGAGTCCAAACAGCTGAAAAAAACATCATAATAATCCACAAGTAATCCACGCAATTTGTAAGAAACAAATCCATCATTAAGGCACTTTAACTTTAAACCATCGCTTCTGGACAAAATATGAGCCATAATCCATAATAA